AAAAAAAAAAACTTTTTGATGTGTCCTCTGCTATTTTCTTCTATGTCGAGTATCTAAGGCATAAAGTTATTGGTTGACTTCAGAGAGGAGTATCCAGAGCACAGTCCTTCCATCCTTTCAGATGCATGGCTTGCTGTTCAGGGACCTCGAACGTTGTATTTGGGGTCAACGTGGGAATGGAAATCGAGGAATTATTCCAGACACGTCCCAGAAGAAGAAGCTTCTAAAGCTCTTGAAGAGTTACTGCCAAAGGCATCTGCTGTATATCCAGCAATAAAAGATTGGACCATAACAGGAGCATGTGCAGGGCTAAGGGCAATGCCACCGCTCACTGCAGAAGGATCACTTCCACTCTTGGGTTGTGTAGATGAATTCATTGGCGGCCCGAGAGAGTGTAAATACTGGCTATTTACAGGGCTTGGTTCCAGAGGTTTGTTCTACCATGCTTGGCTTGGAAAATTAATTGCACGCTCTGTTCTTTCATGTAATGAAGACTTGATCCCTTCTGAATTAACGTCATGGAAGCATCGAGTGAAACAATAGGAGAAGAGATTGTCAAATGTCCTTGTTATTATTTTCTTAAATAATATTAGACAGAATGGGCTTAAATGGAGCGACATGGACAATGAGGATTCAAATAGCCGACCCCAAACCTGCTTGGGCTTGAGCGTTGTATTAGTTCTTAATGGACGTGCTTAATGGAGCGACATGGATAGTAAGAAATCATATAGTTGACCCGAACTCACTTGGAATTGAGGTGTAGTAGTTGCTGTTGTGGCTAGCGGCCTCTCCAACAAGCTCACTTCCTTTCTAGCAGGCAATGATAGTCTTGCTCTATTGTAACAACAAAACTTTTGATGTAAATGTGTATTATTGTAATGGTAGGTTGTTGGGTGGCTAGGAGAATAGAGAAAACTAATTACTTTATATGTTTTGTATGGTGCAAAAGCATATCTGGTTTTGTTTCTGGTTTTGTAATCCTTTTTAGCCACATCTAACTTGCTTGGAATTGAGGCGTAGTACTTGTTGTATGATGCAAAAGCACAAAAGATGTAGCTAAAGCTCAGAACTTTTAACAATGATGTAATTTAGTATTAATGTGTTAATTAGAAGGCATTTTAGCAAGTAAAAGCAGAAGTTTTTATTTTTATTTTTGAAGATCAGCTGTACATTAGTCATATATAAGAGAGAATGTTTTGATCTTTACATGTCAACTATGAGTGCTTCACTCTAAATAAAGTTTGATACTAACTAGGAATAATAGAGTTTAAACACAAGCTTGTGAATTGAAAACAAATGGATGTCTATTATTTCTTAGAAAGCCTTGGAACCAAAATTAATTGCTTTTATTAAATTGCTTCAAATAATTTGGGATCAAGGTGGAGTTGATTGGTTAATTAATTTTTTTCTCTTTTTTTGGCGAAGATAAAAGAGTTCAACACTTGAAAACCCCGAAGCAAAGCCCGTATTCTTCCTAAAGCCTCTATTCTTAGCATGATGGATATTGAATAAAGGGACGATCGAGGGAGTACTGATTTGAGAGAAGCATAAAGGAAAACCGTCCAAAGGATATTAAAAGAGATGGTTACGAGACAACGAGGCCAAAAATTGCAGACTTCTTTAATTTTATTTACAAGATTTATTTATAATATTCTTCATCTTTATTTTGTTCTACTTTCTTTATTTTTTAAAAGAAATTCTTTCCTATCACTTCTCTTTGCTGTATTTCCTTGTTTGTTTAGTTAAAAAAAGCAAAACTATGCATGACAACATGCACATTGAAGCTATGAATAGTATTATTATAAGTAGGTTATTTCTATATTAATATTCACAATAACCTTACAAACTACATTATTACAATAGTATCTTCAATCCTACTACTTATACCTAACTACATATTTTTTATTGCTTTTTTCATGTATTCCTACTCCCTTTATCTCCTTCAACTCTCATTTATTGATTTTCAGCCCCCAAAAAAAAAAAACAAGCAACATTGCTATAGAGGAACTCAATTTGCAACAAAAAGTAAATCAAAAAATTGTGGAGAACAAAGAGATTTGATCTAACCAAATAAAATAACATACATTGTATAGATAGGATAAATAACAATAAAGATAAAAAATAACTACTACTTACAAAAAAATTTTATTTTCTTTTTTTCTTCTATAGATAACTATTAATACTCAAGAATTTTTTTAATGCACAGCTAGCCCTTGTTCTTCAACAAAACAATATCCTCATCCAACATAATGCCAGCTGAAAAATGTCCTTCCTTATATGGGAAAAAATGAAAATTGATTTGATTTGCAGCTTCTTTAGACAGTGTAGTGTTGTTGGATTGTTTCAATATCTAGTCCCTTTAGCTTGACCACTGATTCAACATGTCCCTTTAGAGTGTGTAGCTCTCTCAACCTGCAATAACATAGTTCTTTTAAGTATAGGTTTGTGTCACTCAAAACAATTTATCATAGTAATTTAACATCTATTGGTCCTTGGAGCGACAGTCAAGTTGTCTCTGTATATGTCATTGGTTCGAGCCGTGGAATCAACCACTGATGCTTGCATTAGGCTGCCTACATCACACCCTCTTGGGGTGCGGCTCTTCCTTGGATGCTGCGTGATGCAGAATGCTTTGTGTACCAGACTGCCATTTTTAATATAACATCTATGATATTGTTCATATACCTTGCAACCTCAGCACGACGTTTAGCCTGCTCAGCAATCTCGGACAATTCCCTGTAGTTCTTGTCATTGAATAGGCCAGTGTTTTCTGGTGTCTGCAGACCGTGAAGTGTACGTTGAGCTAAAGCCCATTGTGCTTCCCTTTCACCCCTTCCATAGTCCTTCTTGGTTGTGAAAGCAGTCTAATATATTCAAGAAATGATATTACTAATTAGTCAAGAATAGAATTCAATGGAAATGTTCATGTTATGGCAATTTTTGTTGCTTCTTTTACCTTGTTCTGGATCATTGAATCCCATGCCCTTCCACTTAAAGCGAAACGGATGATGAATTTAAGAATATCAAGAGGGATATAGGTAATAATAGTGTAGATCCAGATAACTGCTGCCCATCCCCAACCAACTCCCTTGATCCTGGCAAATTCCCAGTTTGCATATACAGCGAGCACGGTAGCAACCTGGAAAAAAATGGGAGAAAATTATGAATTTCAGGTAGCCACATATTGAAAACCAACAACAACAAACCCAGTGTAATCCCATAATGTGGAGTCGGGGGGGAGTACGCAGACCTTACCCCTACCTTCGAGAAGGTAGAGAGGCTGTTTCCGATAGAACAACACATTGAAAACCAAGTCAAGTAATTCATTTTTCAAGATCCTTACCAATTGGGCGGCAAAGAAAGCACCAACAAGCATAAGGCCAGGGCGTTCGACGAATGACCAGCTTCTTGATCTGGTCACAAAGATGAGAGCTTGACTGATAATGCTCACTTGAAGGTATAGAGCAGCTGTAAGCTCAGTTGGAGAGTTTCTGATTGATCTAACATGGAAGTTTTCCTGCACATATATAATAAAGTTTGTTAGTTTAGTTCATGTTTTGTTTTCAACTTTTGTTTTAAGTTTAGAATAACATACGGAGAAGAAGTCAGTGTCAGCTGCAAGGTAGAAGAACACAACAGTCATGATGGCTTGGTAGGTTCCGAGGACAACACCAGTGGCAAAGATTTCTTTGAGTTTCCACGAATCGGGCAATGGAGATGGCTTCACTCTGTCCTTAGAGATGGTCATGATAGTTCCATCATTGAGTATGGCAATGATAAGGACCATGAATGGCGAGAAGTCGAACTTCCAGATAAGGGCAATGAGCATGAATCCCATAACGACACGGATTGTGATTGAAACTGCATAGATGGTGTAGTTCTTCATCCTCTGGAAGATGGCTCTGCTCGTCAACACAGCACTCACGATAACACTAAGACCTGGTTCAGTCAAGACGATATCAGATGCGCTCCTGGCAGCGTCTGTTGCATCATCCACAGCAATACCAATGTCTGCCTTCTTTAGTGCTGGTGCATCGTTCACTCCATCTCCTGTCATACCGCAGATATGGTTTCTTTCTTGGAGCTTCTTCACAATCTCATATTTATGCTCTACACAAAATCAAACCTTTTTATGTTAGTTCTTTTGCCTAAACTTTTCTATATTGTAGTTCAATGATAGTACTACTAATATTTACCTGGGAAGACTCCGGCAAAACCATCTGCCTTTTCAATGAGCTCATCGACAGGAATTGAAGCAATGGCTGCATCCTTGTGCTCTCCAAGAAGAGCTGAAGAAGGATACATGTTGGTTCCCATGCCAAGCCTACGGGCAGTTTCCTTACCGATGGCAAGCTGGTCGCCAGTGATCATCTTAACATTAACACCAAGATCAAGAGCTTTGCGGATTGTTTCAGCACTGTCATGCCTTGGAGGATCAAAAAGGGGCAGAAGGCCAACGAATTCCCAAGGTGAACCATCGCTTTCCTTGCTCTTCTCTGGTACAGTCTGCATAAATATCATGTATTCATGCTTAGTTAACGACGATCAATAATATGGTGCACTTATCCAAACAGAGTTATCTAACAGTATGTTAGTTTACCTGTCTTGCCACAGCCAAGGAACGAAGACCACGGTTGGCATAGCCGTCGATGATATCTAAGGACTTCTTCCTGACATCTCCTTTGAGCTCACAAAGTTCAATAATCTGGCAAAGGGTAACGACAGATGAGATGCCGAACACTGAAAATACATGAAGTGAAGGCAAATATAGAAACACTATCGTACTTGCTCAGGAGCTCCTTTGCTAGCCCTGTGCCAGTTTCCTTTGTCATCAATATATGTAATTGCTGTGCGCTTTTCAACCGGATTGAAAGGTAAGAAATGAACCTCTTGGATGCCTGCTCTTGCCTGGAAAGTTACAAGAAGCATATAGTGTCATTTTACAATTTCTTGGAATAGTGAAAAAACTACCGATATCAACTAATGATAAAACACATTACCTCCTTGGGATCGCCCAACATGTTAACGATGCAAGCATCGATAGCATCCTGGTTTTCAACCCTAGAAGCCCTAGCAGCAAGTAACATAACGGTATCCTTGTCCGCATCTTTAGGGAAAACCTACAACCATTGATAACGTTTTCGCCTTCATATTTCCTCAAATATAACTATAATAATCACGAAAAAAGGTACAGCGTTGTCCTGATTACAAACCTCAATCAAATTTTTGTCAACGGTGAGCTTGTTGAGGGTGAGGGTACCGGTCTTGTCACTGCAAAGAACATCCATACCAGCCATTTCCTCAATAGCAGTCATCCTCTTTGTAATGGCACCTTGTTGTGCAAGCCTATGAGATCCAATAGCCATTGTCACAGACAAGACTGTTGGCATGGCAATTGGGATACCTCCGATAAGCAACACAAGCAAGTTGTCAATTCCATCTCTATATTTACGCCTCTGAATCGGGTACATAACCACAATCTCAATCACCATTCCCACAGCAATAGAGCAGATACAGAAGTTTCCGATGGCAGTCAACACCTGATCATCACAATCCAGCCAAAGTTCAGAATCCCAAATCACAATCTTTTTCTCAAGAATTAAGTGAATCTTTAACTTCAGATCACAAACCATTAGTTATTTTATTTTACCTTTTGGAAATGACCAACTTGGTTTGTGCTATCTACAAGATGAGCAGCCTTTCCAAAGAAGGTGTGAACACCAGTAGCGATGACTACTGCCTCGATTTCTCCTTGCTTGACAGTGGAACCAGAGAAAACCTCAGCACCAGGGAACTTTGTCACTGGTAAGGACTCACCAGTGAGTGCAGCCTGGTCAATCTTGAGGGGATCACCCTCAAGAAGACGAGCATCGGCTGGGACAATATCTCCCAACTTGATACTAATAAGATCACCTGGTACCAAGATTGAGGCATCCTCCTCTGACCATTTTCCATCTCTCAAAATCTGGAATTCAGCCACATTTTTTCAAAGATTATAATCAATAACATTATAACACATTGAGAAATCAATCGAGGAGTAAACTAGAGGCGGACAAAATATAGGTTCAATGAGTTCAACCAGTAGCGGAGCCAAGATTTTATTAAGGGATGTCAAAATTTAAAGAAGTAAATACACGAAGAAGTCAGAGATTACAAGAAATAATAATTTTACATATCTAAATAGTGTATTTTTCCGGGAAAAGGCCTTGGAACTAAGTAGATCAACTGCTGAGTTCAACTGAACCAACGTTTTTCACACGGAGCATAAATATATATATGTGAAATCATTAAAACATTGAAACATATTAAATTTTTGAAGCCATTATTTCAAAAAAAAACGACAGGTTTTGTAATAAGAATGTAAAAGTTGAACCTATGAAATTTAAATCCTGCATCCGCTTCTCGATAATGAATTGTAGGGTACCTTAGTTTTGGGAGCAAGATTAGCCATAAGGGCAGCTGCAGCATTTCCTGCATTATTTTCTTCAATAAAACTGATAGTAGAGTTGATTACGAGCAATACAGTGATACCAACGAAATCTGGCCAATCCGGTGGCTTGCCCTGCATTTGTTTCAAGATTTCTCCATTATTAATTATGCACTAATTAATCTTCTTAATATAAAAACTAAGTATATAAGTCAATATTGTAATTACTCCTCCATTGGCCAAAACAATGGCCATAATAGCAGCTGATTCCATAACCCATGAGAGAGGATTCCACATAAACCCCAAGAACTTGAGAAGTTTGTTCTCCTACAATTAAAAAAAAGAACATAGATTATTAATGCTAATATTAATTAAAATTAGAATATGAAGATTGTTAATGAATAAAAAAAGACTACCTTTTTCTCTTCAAGTTTGTTGGGGCCAAAAATTTGGAGCCTTGTTTTGCCCTCTTCAGATGATAATCCTTGTTTGCTACATTTTAGCTGCTGAAACACTTCCTCCACCGGAATGTTTTCCTGCACACATTCATTCAATATATCATTTTCAACTGCTTAATTAGAAATAACTAACCTGTTATCACATATTAAAACTACACTAATGGTGTAAAAAAATCTTCGAACTGTCATTATAAGTGTTTTGCGACGTATAATATATGTTCTACGTGACATGCCCCCTAATGCATGTTGCCCGCGATGTATAATATATGGTCTACGTGACACGCCCCCTAATACATGGTGTCCGCTACGTATAATATTTGGTCTACGTGACATGCCCCCTATTGCATGATGTCCGTGACGTATAATATACGGCCTGCGCGACATGCCCCTTAATGCATGATGTCCGCAACGTATAATATATGCATGGTGTACTATTTCTATAGGTAAGTGCTTGTGCATGTAAAATATGTGGTCTACGTGACATGCATGTCATTAGAGCCAGTTTAACTAAATATATTGCTTTTGACTCGAACTATGTAAATATTTATGCAAAAAAAAGTAGAATATATACATATACGATCAAATTTATTTTAAACTCACTAACTCTAGAAACTGAATTAGCTTTTGCCCCTAATGCAAACTATTTCTAGTAAAAAAAAAAGTCAAGAAAATGAAAAATATACAAGGGAAAAAAAGAGATGAGGAGATGAGATGTAACTTACAAGGTCAACTTGCTCATTTTTAATATCTTCTAATGATAAATTAGACGTCATGATGATAATTTAATAAGAGGAACCAAGAGAAGGAAAATTACTATTTTTTTCAACACATGAGAAAACAAGAAAACATGTAAGTTTTCTTGTAAAGAAAAATAAATGGAGAGAGACTTATTTGCAGAATTGCTCTGCCTCTCTCCTTATTTTTTGTTGTTTATTTTACTTTTTCACTTTTCTTGGAATCTCCAAATACACAAAACGCCTGTTTCTACTCCCTCTTTCAATCCCCTTAAATATTTATAAGGCTCGGGTGTTGAAAGAGAGAGAATTATTAATGTTTGCTCATTTCAAACCTCTACCATTCATTTATATACAACCATATAATTTTGGTAAAATGTCTATAAAAAAGGAGACACCATTCAATTATTCTTTGAATGACTGAGTTCCTTTTTCCCCTTAAAAATTGGATCACCTTACAACTATCTCTTTTTTTGTACTATTTTCTTGGAAAGATTTTGACTCAATTTATTCCACTACAAATAACTAATATACTACTTTATATTTTATTTTTGGTTTGTTATTGATATTTAGCTAGAAGAAAGGGAAAATACTTGTTTTAATTTGGATTGAGTTCATATACAACAACAATGTAAAGAACTTTTCACACCATCAGCTAATTCTTTTAGATGGCATGGTAAAAGAATCTTTTACACTATCAGTATATAACAATATCTTGACGTTCTTGCGCACTGGCCCCGTTTGGCCATGAGTTTTGCCAAAACAAATTTGGAATTTATTTTCAAAACTCATGTTTGGCCATATTTTGGCCAAATCCCAAATCTCAAATCTCAAATCTCAAATCCCAAAATCAGCTATTGAGCTGATTTTGGGCTAAAATCCCAAAACTTGGGAATTATATACATATTTTTCCAAATAAAGTTGAAAAATATGTTTTGAAAACGTATGTCCAAACACATTTTCATCTTCAAACCAAACTTCACCCAAATCAGATTTTTTAAAATAAATTTGGGATCTATGGCCAAACGCTAGCTTGGCTATATCTTTACCATTTGTATTTTGAAAAGTAGGAAAACTTCTTCCAAATCCCTTTGTATTACAATACTATAAATTGTAACTATAAAGTACTTAAAGTAACAATGAAATACAATATAGGAGTATTACAATATTAACATACAATTAAACAAGAGAAATGCATACCTTCCTTTTCAGAGTTAGAGGGTCAAAATGACTAATTTTTGTCAATCTAGACAGAGAATTTTTTAGGTATTTTGATATAAAATTTGCACATTTAGAAAGTANTATATATATATATATATATATATATATATATATATATATATATATATATATATATATATATATATATATTGTCTAGCAAATAAATTAGTTTCAGCTGACCGACCAATTTTGTATTTGCCATCAAACAACAACGTGGAAATGATACCAAGTAGCCACTTTTAAGCATGTTGTTTAAAATATATCGTGTCCTAAAGTTTAAAAAAATTGTGTCTTGAAGTTCGAATCTTATGTCCTGATTTTCAAATTAATAGTTCAGAAATTCAGGATATTTAGTCTTGAATTTCAAATTAGCAGTTCAAAATTTCAGGACACTAAGGGCGTGTTTGGTATAACGGAAAATGTCTTCCGTGGAAAATGTTTTCTTGGAAAACAAGTAGTAATCTTATTCATTTTTCGGTGTTTGGTACGCAAATTAAGAAAAATGACTTCTCAAGAGTATTCATAAATAATTTAGATATGATAAACATGAAGCCATAAACTTTCAAACCAACAACCTTCCGAACCCACAAATTTCATAAACCTTTGAAACCGCGGAATTTTGAACCCGTAAACTTCCAAACACATAAACCTCTGAACTCATAACTTTGGAACTTGTAAAATTTTGAACCTTTAAATCGATAAATAAAAAAACTGAAACTGAAAATAAATTTAAAAAATATTTTTCCCGGGGGGAGGGAGGGGGTGGGGGCAGGAAAATACAAAAAAATAAAAATTTGAAATTACAAAAAAAAAAATTGTGCGGGGTGGTGGTGGGTGGGGGGAGGGGGGCAGGTGAAGGGGGATGGGGATGGGGGTGGATGGTGCAGGAAAAACGAAAAAACAAAAATTTGAAATTGCAAAAAAAAAAAATATTTTGTGGGGGTGGGGTGGGGTGGGGTGGGGTGTAACAGAAAAACTGAAATTTGAAAAAAGAAAAAAAGCATTTTTTGAAGAGAGGGGGTGGGGGTGGGGGTGGGTTGGTGACGGTGGGTAAGATTGAGAAGGAGTTTTGGAAAATGTTTTTCATAAGGAAAATATTTTCCTCCTAAAATGAGTTCATAAGGAAAATGTTTTCCAAAACATTTAAGCCAACCAAACATGGGAAAACTGTAAAATATTTTTCGAAAAATATTTTTTTTCGTACCAAACACTCCCTAAGTGCTGAATTTTCAAATTCAAGATACTTAGTCCAAAAGTTTGAGTGAATTAACTAATCTTTAAATACATTATAAATTATGGATATCTTTTAAATAGTTAGCTTAAAAGTGGCTATTGCTGCACTTCGCCCGACTTCACATTCCCAACCCACATTAGACGGCCCAAGCGCCAAGCCCTTATCATTCCTCTCTCGGACTTTTACTGGAAAATTTTCAACTATTTTATACAATTGTTGCGTCAGTTGAGAGCAATTCAAAGGATCGAAGACAATGGCTTTTCAGATTGCGAGAAGACTCCTACGTAGCCGCGCTAGTTCGTCGATTAGGTATTTGGATCGGAGCTTCAGTTCGGAGTCCAATTCGAATTTGATCCGCGCTACTCTTTTCCCCGGCGATGGTATTGGCCCTGAGATCGCCGACTCCGTCAGACAGGTCCGGTTCAAACTTGTTCTCATATATTTTGATTTCCAATTGATTTGATAAATATCAACCTATTTGGATCTGGTTTACAACCTGCTTTTTGACATGTAATATTCAGACTTATTGAGAAGAATAGACCAAAAATTGAACATATTTGGATGTGGTTTGTAACTTGCTTCTTAGGCTCTTTATTGCTTCATTAAATGTATGGAGGAATAAGTAAATTATTAATATGTACAGATTTTCAAGACTGCTGAGGTACCAATTGAATGGGAAGAACACTATGTAGGGAAGGAGATAGACCCTAGAACCAATAGTTTTCTGACATGGGAGAGTCTTGAATCAGTGAGAAGAAATAAGGTTGGTTTGAAAGGGCCAATGGCTACACCTATCGGGAAAGGTCATCGTTCCTTGAACCTTACATTGAGGAAGGAGTTAAATCTGTATGCCAATGTTAGACCTTGCTACAGCCTACCTGGATACAAGACTCGCTATGATGATGTCAATCTCATCACTATCAGGGAAAACACTGAAGGAGAGTACAGTGGTCTGGAACATCAAGTAAGTCGTCTCTTTCTATAATTATTTAAATATAGAAAAATAGCTTAGATCTTCAAATTCATTCGCATTTGGTATCAGGTCGTAAGGGGTGTGGTTGAAAGTCTCAAGATCATCACTCGTCAAGCAAGCTTAAGGGTTGCAGAGTACGCGTTTCACTATGCCAAGGCTCATGGAAGAGAGAGAGTGTCTGCAATTCACAAAGCTAACATCATGCAAAAGACTGATGGTCTTTTCCTTAAGTGTTGCCGAGAGGTAGCAGAGAAGTACCCTGAGATAAAGTATGAGGAAGTTGTCATTGACAATTGTTGTATGATGGTAAGACCAATCACTTCATTGCCATTCTAGTCTTTATATCTTATTCAAATGCCTAGAATAAGTTTTACAGAATATTGTCAGACAAATGACGCCTCATTTTAAAGTGTCCATTACTATCTGGAATCTTTTTGTGCATGACCTACTTCCCTTTTAATTTTTACAGCTTGTGAAAAATCCAACACTTTTTGATGTTTTGGTGATGCCTAACCTTTACGGTGACATTATCAGCGACCTTTGTGCTGGTCTGATTGGTGGTTTGGGCTTAACTCCAAGGTATGTGCTTTTTGGCCTTTGAAGATGTCTAATGTCCCATGTGAGTTCATTTTGTTCGTTTTGCCTGAAGATGATTTCTCTCGCAGTTGCAATATTGGTGAGGGAGGGATTGCTCTTGCCGAGGCTGTGCATGGTTCAGCACCTGATATTGCTGGAAAGGTATGTATTCAAGTAGGATTTGTTAAGACTATGTCTTTTCCTTTTTGCATGTTGGATCCTTATTTTTCCCCTTAACATTGAGCGTGAACAGTGAATACAACTGGGAAATATACTCAGGTCTTGGCAGTATTAGTTGAAGTGAATGCTTCATCGCGTAAAGCAGAAATTGAAAGCGTGTGAAGCAAGGGGTCATTTGCTTCTCATATGTATAGTGAAGCTAGTTCAAAGAAGTGTTTGTTTCAGACAACAAAGCTCAAAGCGATCTGAACAAGAGGCAATCTCTTCTTTGAACTTGTCTTTAAAAGATGAACAAAGTAATTAAAAGACCAAAAGGAGGATAAAAGTAGAGCCTTCCACCCTCTTAAGTTCCGGGAATTCTCTACTTATATGTTCTCTGACTTGTGTTTTACCCTCTAATTCTTTGTTTATAACTGATTGTTAGGAGAATAAAATGATACTTGTGAGAACATACGGGAGAAAAATCTATTTTATGAACAATGATACATGAGCCCTATATATGATACATATTCTACTCTTACTACATATGAGACTAGGACATATATACTCCTACTACATATGGGACTAGGATTATTTACACAACTATCTAACACTCCTCAAGCCGGTGCATAAAAATCATATGTACCGAGCTTGTTACATATGTTACTAATACGAGGACTAGTGAGGGACTTGGTGAAAATAACTGCAAGCTGATAATTCGACTTCACTACAAGTCATGCCAGACTCCTAAATAATTGTGTTGAACTTACAAAACCAGACTCGGGAGACTACTCTAGACCATAAAGTGACCGGCGCAAGTGACATACAAGGCCACTAGACCATAAAGTGACTGGTGCAAGTAACATACAAGGCCACTAGACTCCCCATTGAGCAACAAAACCAGGTGGTTGCTGATAAATAGAAATTGAACGAAAAGTCGCCGAAAAATTTGAAAATATTGAGACTAAGCCGAATTCCACACCACAAAATAGGTTCTAAAACACCACTAGAAAATAGATTTTTTTCTGGAAATCACTGTTCACGCCGGAAAAGTGCATTGTTTATGCCGGGAAAAAAATAAAAGTTGTCAGAATTGATGTAATTTATATGGCTAGGCTCGGGATCACTGGACGAGTAAGTTGTCCTGAAGAAGTTTTGTCAAAAAGTGGTCGTAATGGCTCACACGCGCCGGAAAAGTTACTGTAGCTTGCCGGAAAATTCCAAAGTTCTCGGATTATGTAGGAAATTGTACCGGTGGACGCGGAATCACCTACGAAGTCACTTAGCCGTATACTATTCAAAGGGAAAGGCGTCGGTACGGAGTCATGTCAGCTGTGGGTATAGACTACGAAACAACTGTCTTAAAGAAATTTTTGAAAATTCTAGCTGGAAAGTGTTCCACGCGCCGGTGGGTATGCGCTCGCCAGAACCCTAGTTCTGGCAGCTCGTGGAGGCGCGTGAGGGACTTTCTACAGGAGCGATTATCTGGGGTTTTGTCACATGACTTTTCCGAACAAGATGGTAGTGATTGTTTTCTCACAACACTTATCGATGAGGAGATAACGCAAATCAATCTTGAGTCGTCAACCGGAAAGACGCACGGTGATTGACTTTTTCGTTGGGACTGGGATTTCTGGGGTTTGGTCGCACAAGAGTTTCGGATCTGATGGTGATACTGGTGTATGCATAGTATCACTGTAGCAGCGATGAACCCTGGGAACAAGACGAAGTTGCCGGAAAATTGCACGGCGACGAGATCTTTCTTTTTGGATGTCGCTAGAATGACGCACAACGATAATTTTCTCACTGAAGCTCTAATACCATGTGAGAACGCACGGGAGAAAAATTTATTTTATTAACAATGATACAATGAGCCCTATATATAATATATAATAACATGTTCTACTCCTACTACATATGAGACTAGGACATATCTACTCCTACTACATATGGGACTAGGATTATTTACACAACTATCTAACGATACTTGCAGATAAAGCTAACTACTACTGTTCTTAAAGCAATTAAATATGAAAGTTAACGTTGCAAATTGATCTTTCCTATGGCTGATTATTTGAAACCAAGAAATCAATTTTTCTATTAAAGTTATGTTGGGCTAGTGAAAGTTACATAGTACTCCCACCGTCCCAATTTATCTAGCGATGTTTGACTCGACACGGAGTTTAAGAAAGAAAATAAGACTTTTGAAACTTGTGGTTTAAAACAAACCATAGATATTTGTGTGGATGTAAATCAATTCATTAAGAATAAAGTAGGGATTTTAAAGATAAGCTATTTCTAAATAAGGAAAAGTGATATTCTTTTTGGGACTGGCTAAATAGGATATAGTGCCCCGTAGACGGAGGGAATACAATGGTATTTCAGTTGTTGGGATGAATTTGAAGAGGAACTTTGGCATAACTGGTAAAATTGTTGCCATGTGACCAGGAGGTCACGGTTCGAACTGTGGAACAGTCTCTTGCAGAAATGCAGGCTGCATACAATAGATCTTTGTGGTCCGGCCCTTCCCTGGACCTCGCGCATAGCGGGAGCTTAGTGCACCGAGTTGTCCTTTTTTTGTTGGGACGAATTTGTCATTTTCGTATATTGGATGTTGAAAGTGATGGTGTTACTTGGAATTCTGAAATTGTATGTACTGAATTTCCATTTATTAAAGTTATGTTTGGCTTGTGAAAGTTGCTCGCCATCCCAATTTATCTGGCGGTGTTTGACTCAAAAAAGAGTTTAAGAAAGAAAAAGACTTTTGAAATTTGTGGTCTAAACAAATCATAGATATGGCCCTAAATCAATTCATTAAGGGTATAGTAGGAATTTTAAAGATAAATTATTTCTAAATAAGGAAAAGTGATAGTGTTCTTTTTGGGACGGGCTAGAAAGGACATAGTGCCACGTAGACAGAGGGAGTAATATTTTATTTCAGTTGTTGGGATGAATTTGTCGCTTTCGTATATTGGATGTTGAAAGTGGTGTTACTTGGAATTTTGACATTGTATGTACTGAATTGCCATTTATATTTTAATAAGTTCTGGGCTTATATATAATAAGTGTAGTGCTTCATTTCTTGCTTATAGCCCGGGAGACTTTTTGCTTTTTTTCGCTTTTCGCTTTTAAGCACAGTGCACCAGGAATTGAGGGTCCTATATCTAGGTCCTATATCTAAGATGCCATACAATATAAATTGGACTATAAGAATGCAACCATTATGTGCTTGACACTCCTTAGTCCTTGCACTGTATGGTATGCTGCTAGAGATTCCTCTGCCAAATAGCTGTTGCTTGGAAGATTTTAGATGCCGAGTTTTGTTCTTTAAATGTATTTCACTATTTGCTTTGTCTGTTATGAGTTGGCATGCCATGCTTATCTTTTCATATTGAATGCGCTGCATTGACTAGACAACCGAACTTTTCTTTGTGCAGAACTTGGCAAATCCAACTGCTTTGCTTTTGAGTGCTGTAACCATGCTACGGCATTTGGAGCTTCATGATAAAGCTGATCGTATCCAAGGTGCTGTCCTAAACACAATTGCGGAGGGGAAGTACCGAACAGGTGATCTTGGTGGTACTTCATCAACTACTGACTTCACAAATGCCATCTGTGACCATCTTTAAACATGCTCGTCCATATGTACATTCAACTTTTGCAATGGTTTGACATAATTTATGTTTGTTTCAAATATGCAATTGAAATAATTTATATTTGCTTCTGGTGATCCAAACAACACTACCTTGGGTTTCTCAGAGATCTGCTTATTAGGACTGGAATTCATTTTCAAAGGATATATTTCAAAGAATAGCATCCACCACCTGTAATTGGTGACTCATTAATTTGCAGGGAATAAGAGTTTAATCCTGTAATGCTTCTTGCTGTTCAATTCATAATTTCTAAGTTTAGTTTTCTTCAGTATCTGTAGGAAAATGGCAGAGATCTGTTTGGTTTGGTTTTTAGTGTTGATGTTTCATTCAACGCTATTCATGATTTTCTGCCGACTGTCAACCATGCTTCCTTTTGTGAAGTTAGTTTAAACATGTCAACTTCAGGCGCAGTTCACAGGAGAGATACTGCGATTTTAATACCAATGTCAGGCAACTGATTGCAGATTGATTGATAGTCTTTGGTGTCTAAATCTCTGTCCATATGGTCTCACACAATACTTCTTGGTTAGTATAGGTCTGATTTATCACTTCTGTATGGAAATTAGATTACACAGCTGAACATCCAATTAATAACACCGGAAATGCGATTATAGTTCTGTAAGGTCATTTCATCACATACAAGGTGAGTAGCTAAAGGACAGGTCTTTTAGGGTCATGTTTCTGATTATTTAAACTTCCTTTCCTTCGTTCTGGAATAGTTTTCCAGTATTTGCAAAAGTTGAATAACTCTTCTGTTTAACGTTAGATTGCAATAGAGCTTTTGTAAAGATAACAAAGTTAATTTTTTTTCAAATTTTGAACCATATAGGTCGAACTCAATTTTTTCCTAAATATATTGCATAATTTTTTTTTGGACATGGAATTCGAAGCGCTAGTCCAAGCTGGCCCAAATATCATTATACAAAAAACACCGACAATGAAAATGCAAGCAGATTGCATTGTTAAGAACTGATAAAGACCATAAGAACAGAAGATTGCAAATAAGTTCATGCCTAACTTGAAGGAGGTGCAAGCAAAAACAGCACCAGCACCAAACTAAAAGTTCTCAAACTGCAAGTACAACAGGCGTATATCCATGTTCAAACTGACGACTGTAGAAATTAAGCTGATAAACTTAAATATCAATTGTATAATTCTGGATAGAAATGCATAGATGTAGACTACAGTAGAATACCCCTTAGACCACAAGATCAAGAAATTCACATTCGAAAAGAATCTCCAAATACCTAATACAATGACAATTGTTGACACAACTGCCCAGTAATACTTTAACGGCCTATTCAGTACGGACGAAGATGTTCTACAAGAACAATATTTTAACATATGGTAATCATATGTCTGACAACATTTTCTAGTATTAATGGCTGACAACTATATCAACTGTCGAAGACAGGACTAAAATAATTTAAAAGAAATTTTCTAAAGTCTTCCAATAAAATAAACCCTAACCTTCCAAAAGAAAAAAGTGCAGACATACAAGACTAATTTCACATTTGTGATCATTACTATGAGTTCCATGCACAAGTTAAAATGCTAGAGATTGATCAACAAAGCATAGTAAATCCAAAAATATTCATTTAATACATAACTCTGCGGAAAATTAAGCTCCAATACTTCTACCAAAACATCAGTAGAAAACTCTACATGATTTCATTTCGGAATAAGCTCCTAGTAAACAAAAATCAAAAATAACAGAACCCCGGAAAGTTTTCCATAAAATGTTGAACAAAACTCGAGCCCTCCACCTTAAAATCCTAACTTGGTACGCCTCCAGTGCCTGCGCTTGGCATTGTACCTGAAAAAACACAACCAAAACATTTTAGCACAATCAATGAAAGATAGAATACAAAAAGGGCTAATAGCACTTTTGGTTCCTAGATGGTAAGTTATAACTTTAATCCTTGTAATATCTGACTAAACAGATTTAACCTTCAATGAACTGAAATCTGAGCTTTTGATCCTTTTGCTTGTGAATATTCACGGTTAACTAGAATTATTAACCGTTCTGCCATTTAATTACTCATGTGTTACATTTAGTTTACTGTTATTCCATATTTAAGGGTTTTAAAAATACTCTAACTACAGATGACAAGGGTAAATATATTACAAGCAAAAGACCAAAAATGGAGAAGCAATGAAAGAATGTGCAAATCCATTCATGTTCGACAAATAATGGCCAATTACTACCTGAGTAATTTATGCAATTACAGGAAATATGAGGGTCTATAAGCAGCTGTTGACATCTTATGAAGTTAATTAATTGAACCTATTTATACAGCATGATAATCATTTAAAACAGGCATAGTGTATGGGGAGACTCAAACTTACCGAATTCAGACATGCTTCCTAACTTTTAGTCCTCGTGATATCCAACTAAATGCTTCAATTGATTGAAATGAGTGATTTTAATCCTTTTTTCCAGCTGCTTTTAATCCTTTAGCTTGTAAATATTTACATATGCATTAGGATTTTTAGCCATACCACCATTTAGTTACTCATGTGTTCAGGATAATGAAGTTCTAAAAAATAGTCTAACTACGACATGTTTCCCCACACATAAAGAGACCAGAAACACACATTTTTAACTAATTGAAAGTTAACTGTGCACAAGAAACAGTACGCACTGACTGAACACTCCAATTAATTGAAATGTGCTCTTTTGATCCTTTAGGTTGTGAAATATTCACAAATGCAGTAGGATTTTTAACCGTTCTACCGCTTAGTTACTCCTGTATTAGGATAACATAATTCTAAGAATAGTCTAACCATAACATGTTTCCCACACATAAGGGACCTGAAACACACATCTTAACTAATTGAACATTAACCGTGCACAAAAGCAGAATTTACCGACAGACCAAGAAATGGATTATTATTATTATACCACAAAAAGAAACAAGTAGATTATATTGTGAAAATTCACAAATGCATTAGGATTTTTCATGTAATAGGATAATATAGTTATAAAAATAATCAAACTTTAACATGTTTCCTACACATAAAGCAATAAGAAATACACATTTTAAAGAGTAATTGAAAGTTAAATGTGCAAGGAAAAAGCAAAATTTACCGACGGACCACAAAAAAATACTTTATATAAAACAAGACAATGAATTTGTAAGATTATTAGGGTAAATCAATATACCTGATGGTGTTATCGGTCCTCATTCGGATCCAATAAGGAATAGGCCTGTTCTGCCTCTGCTTCTTCGCCAGCTTCTTCTTGATCATGAATGTCTTGTGTGACGGCTGCTCAAAATAAAATAAACAAAATCGATAACTTAAACGGAGTTTTCGAGCTACTACAATTGTACTGGAACTTATGGAACAGGATCTCACCATTTTCACGGTTGGGGATTCCTCCTCGGAGCTGCTGCTGCTGAAGCTGAAAGACGGACGACCGTATGAGGATTTGGGGAAAAACCCTAGTTTGTGGTTATTTATAGTGCCTTGCTCGGAGATGTTTTGGGCCAGAAATCTGTGAGCCCAATAAATAAATGAATGCGTTTTGGGCCAGAAATCTGTAAGCCCAATAATGATGTTTTAGGCCAGCTTCAGCCACTTAAATTAAAAAAAAAAGAATTACAAGAAAATACACGTGACTAAGAAAAGTAAACAGTATAATTTACATATAATTCAGTCATTATGTAGGCAAATATAAGTAATATCACATATTAATGGGACAAGTCACTGTATATTTCTTGAATATTGGCGGCAAGAACAAGGATTATCAGATTTAGTAGTGGCAAAATGGTTAAAACAAAACAGTTATTCAGCCATATTATCCATTAAAAAATAGATCGGATAATGAACTTTTAAAAAATGGGACAAGGATGGATAAAAACCATATTATCCACTTAGAAAATGTATAACTAATGGGTTTAACTTTTACGTTTGTAAAGCAGCAAATTAGGGGTTCCTCAAGTTTAGGAGACTAGGAATTCTCCCAAAAGTGATCATATTTAAGAAGCCATGGATAATATGAATATCCATATTATCCGACGATTAACTATTTTTTATCCGTATTAAATATGTGTCGGGTCGGATAATTTATCCGTTTTTTGTATTTTTTTTATTTGTCCATATCCGACTCGACCAGCCCATTTGACACCCCTAATCAGACCACTACATCGTTTAACTCACTAACCAATGTTGAAAATGTATAGGGTCAAATTTGACCGTCAGCGTCTCTACGCCAGTGGGTACGCCCAGTGAGTGTACGCCGACTAACGTAGTGGGTACAACTCGGACGTGGGGACAAAAGCGACATCGTCTAGGACTCAGTGTCTTCACTAGGAAGACGTTACCTATTTTTGTAACTTTTTGATTATTTCGAGGAAGGTCTCATATTATATAAGGGAGACCTTCACATTGTAAATGGGGGATTCTGGAATAATACAACTCTCTCATTTTCTGACTTTCTCTCTCTATCTCTGCCTCAAACGAACATATTCTCTTGAGTACATAGTATCACTTTGCAATACTAGATCTACAACAATAACATCATCTTTACATCTCTAGGTCTATTATATTTGATTACGATTTACCCTTTTCTTACTTTTGATTGTTTTCTAGCTTACAAAGTATATTGTTAGCTTTTGAGCCAAACAATTTGGCGCTGTATGTGGGGAATTCGAGAATCAAAACCATAGTATCCACCTAGAGATCAACCAACGACCACTCTCTACACCACACAAAAACAGAGGATGGCCGAAAATAACACAAGATCAAAAGCTATATTGGGTGTCACTACCAATCTCCTTGGCCCTCTCAACGAGGCCAGTGACGATGGTACCCTGAATGCAACCCCTAGCATCAGACCCGGTGCAGATATCTCACCTTCCCCATCCGAAGATCTGACGATCTTGCACGAAAAAGGAGCTTCCACATCTGCGGCTACGGAAGCACCCTCAGCGGTCAAGAAGCTACTGGAAAGATGGCTAACAAGCACTCTAAGTGGCTTGGTTGAGAGGTCACCACAAAGTAACATCAGGAATACACCAATGGTAGATACCACTGCTGTCGTGGGTGAACCGGAAGTTGCACTAGCAAATAACGAACCCGTCGAGACACAGACCAACGATGGCACGCTAACAGCCATCCTAAAGAAGATGGAAGAAATGGAAAATAAAAACAAAGCGCTCCGCGATCAGATGAAGGAACATCAGGAGAGGGTCGACAAGATCCCCGGTGCTCCTAAGTTGCTACCAAAACGCGATGTGGGAAGGTTCGTTGAACAACCATACACTGAATAAGCTGCCCCTCACTCCACCCCAAAAACCTTCAAGATGCCACCCTACTTGAGGGTATATGACGGAACCACAGATCCCGAGGATCATCTGATCCACTACGTCACCGCTGTGAAGGGCAACGACCTATCAAAAGAATAGGTACCGTCGGTACTGCTGAAGAAGTTTGGCGAGACGTTGACAGGAGGGGCTTTAACATGGTACTCTCAGCTACCGGCCAAGGCAATATCAACGTTCGAGGAAATGGCGGATAAGTTTGTCACAGCCCACGCAGGCGCGAAGAAAGCGGAGGCCAGGGTCAACGACATCTTCGCTGTCAGGCAAACCACAGGAGAGGGACTCAGGGACTTCCTAGCAAGGTTTAACAGGGTAAGGATGAGTCTACCAAACGTATCGGAAGGTATGGCAGTCGTCGCTTTCCAAAACGGGCTAAGCAGGGATGGTTCGAGGGCAACCAAGAAGTTGCTGAGCCGCCTCATGAAATATCCCCCTACCACATGGGAGGAAATCCACAACGCCTATTGCGCCGAGGTACGAGCGGACGGGCATGATCCTAATGGGCCGACCCAACGGCTAACATCGATACACTCAGAAACGAGGAGAGATCGACAAAACGAGGGACGACGAGAACAACTCCCCCGCTCCAATAGAGATCGACATCAGCCATACACCAGATCCTCCCATCCGCCACCAAGGCATACAGACGCGCTATAGCGACACGTCGCCCCACTCCGAAACGAAAGAGGTACGCCCCCTTTATTATCCGCCCATAACTTTTGTGTGTCTCCTTCAGAAATAGTATACGCACTGGAGAAGCTGGGCACCAAAGTGCAGTGGCCGCAGAAGATGAAATCAGACCCCGCCACAAGGAAATCAAACGTCCTATGTGAGTTCCATCAAGAACGGGGGCACAAAACCGAAGACTGCATAGGCCTACGGCAAGAGGTGGTCAGGATGCTGAACTAGGGATACGTGAGGGAAATACTCAGTGACAAAGGGAAAATCAACTTTGCACGCGAACGGGAACAACCCCACGGGCCGCCAAAGCCGCCCTCCCCAGCACGCACGATAAACATGATCGTCGGAGGCGGCGACAACTTGGCGATCAATCACGTCAAGTTCACCACCACGCACAAACTAAAGCGGACCGTCGCCCATGAACGGTATGACGACTTCGAAGATAGTATCACCTTCGATAAGCCTGATGCCGACGTTTTGTCTTTCCCTCATTACGATGCTTTAGTTATCACTTTACGTATCGCTGATACAGATGTTAAAAGAATCATGATTGACGACGGAAGTGGCGTCTGTATTATCCACCTGAGGGTCCTCGTACAAATGGGACTCGAAGATAGGGTAATACCGCGCTGCATAACACTAACCGGTTTTAACAATGCAGTGGAACGGACGTCCAGAGAAATAGCACTGCCATCTTAGCGGGAGGAGTCACGCTGGAAACAATTTTCCACGTGATGAACCAAGAAACGGCGTACAACGTCATCATAGGACGCCCGTGGATACACGCCATGCGAGCGGTCCCTTCAAGCCTTTACCAAGTGATCAAATCCCCTACCCCATGGGGAGTATTCAGTATTCGAGGCGAGCCACGCACCGCACAAGAATGCTACAAAATAGCCCAAGACTGCGCCCACACCCAACAGCTAAAGGGGGCGAGCGCGGAGGCATAGCAATTAGCCATGTCGGGGACTAAGGTCAACCCGACAACGGACGCCATCAAAGACCCCGACGTCGTGGAGGCTTGTAAAGCGACGGTCGAAGATCTCGACCCAGTCCAGTTGGACGAAACCAATCTTACGAAGAAAACCTATATCGGTCACGGCCTTGCCAACCCAAGTAAGTATCGTGAATTCTTAACTAACCATGCAGATTTGTTCGCCTTTTCCCCATAGAGATATGCCGGGAATCCCGCGAGACATCGCCACCCACAAGCTGAATGTCGATCCACTACATCTGCCCGTGCGACAGGTGAGGAGAAAATTCAACACCACTATCAACGAAGCGGTCAGTGAGGAAGTAGATAAGTTACTGGCCAACGGCTCCATCAGAGAATCAAAGTACCCCCAGTGGGTCGCCAATGTCGTCATGGTCAAAAAGAAAAATGGGAAGTGGAGAATGTGTGTGGATTTCACTGATCTGAACAAAGCATGCCCAAAGGATTCATTCCCACTACCCCACATCGACCGACTGATCGATGCCATTGCAGGACACGAACTACTAAGCTTCCTAGACGCCTACTCCGGCTACAATCAAATCATGATGGCCGAGGAGGACCAAGAGAAGACAACTTTCATCACCCACCAAGGGACTTACTGCTACAAGGTAATGCCCTTCGGGCTCAAAAATGCAGGGGCTACGTACTAGAGACTGGTCACCAAAATGTTCAAAGAGCAGCTCGGTAAGACTAAGGAAGTCTATATCGACGACATGCTGGTAAAGTCGACAAGAAAAGAGGACCACATCGACCATCTGAAAGAAGCCTTCGAGATATTGAGAAGGTACGGGATGAAACTGAACCCCGAGAAATGCGCCTTCGGCGTGCCTCAGGAAAATTCTTAGGGTTTCTCGTATCACAATGAGGTATCGAAGTCAACCCAGATCAGATCAAGGCGATAGACACAATACCCGAGATACTGAACAGCAAAAAGCAGGTGCAAAAGCTGACGGGGCGAATAGCCGCCTTGTCTAGGTTCATCTCACGATCTTCCGACAGATGCCATAAGTTTTTCAATGTGCCGAGAAAGGACAATGGGTTACAGTGGAATAAGGAATGCGTCGAGGCCTTAAGAAAATTGAAAGCGTACCTGTCTTCGCCGCCACTGCTGGCCAAAGCAAATCCAAGCAAGCCCCTGCTAGTATATTTGGCCGTATCCGAGGTCGCCGTCAGCGCAGTCCTAGTTTGTGAAAACGAAGGTACGCAATCTCCTATTTACTATATTAGCAAAACCTTAGTGGACGCCGAAACACGGTATCCACACCTTGAAAAATTAGCTTTGGCAGTGGTCGTAGCTTCACGAAAGCTACGACCCTATTTCCAATGCCACCCCATAAAAGTAGTGACGACCTTCCCCTTAAGAAGTATCTTACACAAGCCTGAGTTATCAAGCAAACTCGCCAGATGGGCCATAGAGCTCAGTGAGCACGATATCTCATACCATCCAAGAAACGCCATCAAG